AAGCTCAAAATTACCTATGGCAACAAGGAGACTTCTTTTGACTTCACCTTATTTTAATCTCATTAGCTAATTCAGGGACTGGGGCAGAAAGATACAAGAATGAGGCTAAAACATTTTGACACATCAGATAAAAAAGAGGTTATCACAGACTACTACTGTCAGGTCAAGAAGAATCAGAAGTCACTTTAAGAGATTCCGATTCAAAAAAAAGATTCCAATTCAGCCAAAAGTAGAACTACTAATCTTCACATAGAGTTAAAACTGCAATGAATTGAAATTCATCAAGTTTCTCTCTTTCCCCCAGACCCTTATCTTTTGAGAATGCTAGGAAACCAATTCATTATCTTGAGAGCAGTGCTCAAAAAAAAAAGTGTTTTTTAAATCAAGCATCTATCCAGCCCATCATATATAAACTATACCACTGAGTGACCTTATAAAATTATTCGTTGTTATAGCAAAACAAGATGACAACATTTTGCAACTCTAAGCTTTGGGCAGCAATGACTGTTAATACATCCCCCCAACACCACCTAACCCCTCTTCCCCCTACCAATCCAAGACATCTTTACAACGTGATGAATGTTGTGAATGAATACACCACCATCACCAATATTCTTGCCAAAGAGGATCAATCTGAATTTATAAAATCTCTGGATCCAACTGTCAATTTACAGGAAATACAGAGGACAGAGGAACACGTTGAATTGTACCGAGTATGCAATCAGCAAAATATAGTTTGTGGGAAACTCCACAGGGAAAATGACATGAAGTCTTCAACAGATACAAGAAGGCAAGGAAGAAAGGGAAGCTGTAGATATTTAAAGTTTTAAAAAAGTGGACAAAGTAAATTATAGTGTCCAGGAATGCACACTTAGATGACAAAAACCTTAACAAAATGCAGAGGTTATTATTATAAAGTCGAAATTTTATATACTCTCCAGAAGCAGGGAGGACACTCCCTATGTGTCCTCACTACTGGGGAGGGAGGGTTGGGTACTGGGATGGGTACCTGGATGGACTTCTAGAGGAACAGGAAAGGTTCTACTTCTTGACTTGGGTGGTAGTTACAAGTACTTGCCTTGAAATAATTTATTAACTAATAAACCTGGGGGTTTTTTGTGGGAGGTTTTCCATATCTGTGTTCTATTTTTCACAATAAAAGGAAAACATTTTTATCACATTGAAGTTGCATATATATGGTATAACTCCATTTGTATGAAATGTCCAAACTAGGCTAATCTATAGTGATAAAGTGGACTGGTGGTTACCAAGTACCACTGGGGTGAGTAGGTGAGTGAAAGGGAATGACTACCAATGGGTACTGGGTTTCCTTTAGGCAGATGAAAACATTCTAAAATTCATGTGGCAAGGGTTGTTGTACAACTGAAAACAATATACTAAAAACCACTGTATATTTTAAATGGGTAAACTATATGGTATGTGAACTACATCTCAAGGTTGTTTTTTTTTTTTTTTTAAGTCTAACACAGTTCAGTCAACCAAGACATGATTTCAAGATAGACTCCGGAAAGGCCTGAGAATCTGCATTTCTGACAAGTTCTTAGATGATGCTGCTGCTATAACTGGGACTATGTTTTGAGAACCACTACAGAGTATTTCAAAACTGCTTCTCGCTGAAGGCAATTCTAAACAGCACTGAAGAATGAAGTGTTTTACTCTCAGACTAAGAAAATAGTCCAGAAAAAAAGTTAATACTCCGTGCCAAGCACTGTTCTACTTGTGTTTCCCTGACTATCCAAATTAGCATCCCTTGGGAACTTGCTGGAAAGGCAAATAGTCGAGTCCCTTCCAGACCTACAGAATCAGAAATTCTGGGGGTGGAACCCACCAATGTTTGTTTTTAGCAAGCCCTCTAGATGATTTTGATGTTCCTTAAAGTTTCAGACCATTTTTCTAAGCACTTTACATGTACTATGTACTAACTCTGCTAAACTTCTCTAAAATCCTGAGGTAAGTAACACTATCATTGCCATTTTAAAGATTAAGAACTGTGACACAGAGGCTAAATAATTTGCATAAGACGACATAGCTGGTAAGACATGAAGTCAGAACTTGAATCCAGAGAGTATGGCTCCAGAGTTCATGTTCTTAATCACTGTGCTAAAAGGTCTTTTTTTTATATTTTAAGAACTCAATCACAGAATATAATAATCAAGCATTAGTAATGGAAATGAGTGGAACAGCAAAGACCAGGAGAAATATGCCCTACTATAAAGACAGGCAAATAAGAAAATAATAGCAGAAAATACTGCCATCACTAAAGCAATCTTCCAAAATTGTTCCAAAACAAAACAATCCCCAAATTTCCAGAACAATGCTCTCTGGTTTCTAATTATAAGCACTTACAAACTCGGTTGTGGTAAAGGTGGTACATAAATTGATGGCATCATAGTCATACTTACCAATCTTTAAAATCAAATAATGATACTAAAAGTTCATTCTAGAAAATGTGCATTTCCCTTCTCCAAGTTCCTTTAGTCACTACTTAAAATTTTATTACTGAAAAGGAAAAATCCCACTTTCCTTCAACATCTAAGCTAATAACAATCACATTTTGAATTTTCACATTCATTTAGTCCAATTAACAATCTAGATTTGAATTGATCTACAATACCCATCTCTGCTTAATGATACATTCATAAGAAGCTAAAGCAAATTCCAACTTTCTATAAAATCCCATTCTGGTATCAATCCATGTAACCACTGTAACTTTTAAAGTCAAGTTATTAAAAGCTTTTTAAGGGAAATGAAAGTTGAAAAATGCTCAGATTAACAACCCAAAGAAAACCCCCAGTTGTTTTACTCAATAGAAAATCACTTCACTATCAGAAAGTAATCCTATAAGCAGAAGACCAAGCTGGTCAACAAGTACATCAAGTTTTAGCAACTCTACTCCTATGACACATCAAATGAGAGGGCTTCTAAAAGAATCTCTGGAGCTGAATTACCCCTAACATTAACATATAAACATCTGGTAACCAGTCTTTGAGGAAACGAGTCAGAGAATAATACAGCAAAAACACCAAGAGAAAATATTTTTGAAGTAACCAAGTTTGGCATTTCAATACTTTGGAACCATGGTTGAAAACACAAAATAAAAGGGAAAAACAACAACACCCAACAGCATTTCCATTGTAAATTTGTAGCTGTTAAGTATTGCAGAAGTAATTCAAATAATGAAAATAATTCAAACACTGAAATGTACACAAAGCTGTTCCCAAAATCTACAGTTATCCTAGTCTCAGAAACTCAGGATTCAATTAAGTGACCTCGTTCAAACTTCCTAACTACAGAAAACTCAGAACAAGGGCAAACATACAATCACTGTAATACTCAATATGTTCAATGTTTTGTTGAGCAAACGGAATTTCCAAGAAATCACTTAATACTTAGTCAATTTTTAATTAGAGATCTGACTCCTCCATTAAAGAACAAAGAACTGAAAAGCTACGATCAATAGCACTGGTGATTCAGTCACATTTCATGTAAATTCCTCAAAAACTTTCATTCATAACCTCTACTCTGTATGCCCCTTCAACTTGGAATCACTCTCATTTAAAAGTGGGTACAATTGGCCATGGTTTACCTCCATTTGTGCTTAAATCAAACTTCTAAGATTTTGATGATGGAAGGAACATACAGTAGACCCCAAAATGACCAAAGGAGCAAAGTAATGAACAGTTTAAAGGCCTTTATGTTGGAGAAACATCATTTCCCCCAGAAAAATAAAATTAAAAACAACAGGATAACTATGAGTGTAGATACTAAGTGAAATCAGGATATAAATGGAAGGTCTCAAAAACTGTTCAGTATTGCAATTTCAGAAACTTTATTATAGCCAGAAGAACTCACCACTAAGTACTAATTGCTTAGAAGTTATAGGTCAGAACAGCTGAGATACCAACATCATAATAAAAAAGCAACATTATAAGATAGTATTAAAATAACTAAACCACCTAAGGAAATTGAAACCATGATGAAAAACCCCAAAGGCATAATCAGGTCATTATCTAGGAAACATTAGCTTCTACCAGGAGGCCTACTTCTCGTGTGGAGCAGTAACTGGGGCCAAGACATGGAAGTGGACTCAGGTATCAATTAAATCAGACTCTGCGACTGAAACAGGAATCCATGACTATTTTAGGATAGTTCCTAGGCCAGCACGATCAACTCCAACAGGGAAACAAGGGACACAGGAGATTACTGCCATTGTTCCATTACAATGGAGGTCTTCCAAGGTCTTTAACTTAGGAAGAAAGGATTAGCGTACCCCTACTGGGATGTAATCACCAAATGTGAGGGAAACTCTGTAGGACAATTTCAACAAATAAGGAGGGGAAAAAAAAACAGAAGCTAAAGAACCTGCAGATTAAAACAGATTTGAGAGATCTAGCAACCCTCCTTTCTGATAAACTTTACTGATTGGATCCTGATTCAAACACATCATAAAATTTAAACACAAGTTCATATTTGATATATTTTTTTTAAAAATCACTTAATTTTTTGTGATAATGGTTTTGGGTTTATGTTTAAAGAACCCTTATCCTTTAGATACAAATATTTTGCAAGTAGAAATATGACAGCAAAGGTTTATTTCAAAAAAAGGGGGAGGAGGAAAGGCAGGTAGTGGGTAGACTCATAAATGAAACATTATGGCTCTAAGTTGGTAACTGTTAAAGCTGGTATACATAGAGGTATCACATACTATCCAACTTACATGTCTAAAAGTTTTCATAACTTAAAAAACAAGTGGTTAGACATAGTATCTTGCAATTTTATTTTTTAAAGGATGTTTAGAGTAACTTAACCAAGTACAGACAGAATTCATTTGAACGGTTTAATTTAGTAATGAGCTCCAATTTAAACGCAAGCAGTAACCAAGACCACACCAGTTCAGTAACAGAATGGAGACAACCCCACCATCTCCATTCCAAGAAGTAAAACACAAATACGATCCACAAAGATCTACCAAAACTAACCTAAAATCACTGCCAATTATACTCATCCTGGTGGGAATTCCAACACTGCTCCAAATGCTTTCTGAGCCTTCCTGACTACACTGGTCTGCTGGTTCCTCTGGAGCGGTAACTCAGAGGTCAGACTATAGCAGGACCTAAAAAAAAAAAAAGTGGGGGAAACACACTATTTACACACATTCATTAGGGTTTCAGGGAGTTAACTATTGTATCAACCTCAAACACAATCATTTCTTAAGCATGTAACCAGAATTCAGAACCAAGAGCTACATTAATCCTCATAGTATGACATTTAAACACCCCTGAAAAAGCTCAGTTTTTAACCAAAGTGGAATCACATGGTGATTGTCTACAATCTTATAATCGCACTATAAAATGATACTAAGGCAATAGTAAAGTTGTTATCCATAGGAAAAATGCACACACAAAAATTATTTTTCTCCTTCATACATGTTTTAGTCATACTGGAGGATAAACAATAAAAATCTTGGAAACTCGGGTGGAACTTTGCCACTGAACCTTGACCAAGTTTTTAACTGGTATTGCCACTCCTTCCTCTCTTTTAGGTCATACCTAGATCATCATTCCCAGACTTATTCTAGTTCTGAATGACAGTCACACTGAGGCTTTGTTAATTTTGATCACAGCTTGACCCATTATACAGAACACTAAGGAAAAATCTCAAAACACAGTGATCTCTTGCCTTCTAATGAAGAAGGGGAAAATTTCTATTACCTCTAAAGCATTTCAAATAAAGCAAATCCTAAAGCTCAAAACTAATGTTCACCTATAGCTCATACCAGAAGGTTATCCATGGTGAATTTTTAATCCTAGTAAATTTTTCACTGTCATGTTCCTATTTCAAACCCTACAATCCAAAGTAATTACAAAAAAGCACTTTAATGTTGCTCTAATCAAAACAGTAACAATAAGGGAAACTACCTCCAAGTTTAATAGTCACTTCTACTTAGTAAGAATGTCACAAAATGTAAAATGGCAAAAATACAATAGGAGGTAATATATTAAAGATCTGACAGTAATTCACTTTGTATTCTAAACAATATTGTCTAAATTCTCTCAGATAGTAATTATTCTGCTCAAGTAAGGCCAAATAACAGATCCCCACTGTGATCTGAAGGACCTCATTCTGAAGAAATGAGATAGGGGAAAAGCAGTATGAACATCTATAACACTATATAGTCAGAAGTTCCCTTTATTACTTCACAAAGTATGCCACCAAATTTCATTATTTTAGTAGAGTGAATGAGTCTGCCTTTGAAGGAGTGGAAGAAGATAGTAGGCAAGGGATAAGGAATCCCTTCCAAATGGTAGACCACCTGGGCATGTTTCTTCACAGGAACATTATGGATAGTGGTCATTCCAGTACAGTGATTTTCACTGAATTCCTAGTAAAATTAGGAGAACTAGTGGAAGTTTAACAGAGTGGGAGTCACAGTCAAATATCATGAATCACTGAATCAAAAGACTTTGGCCTATAAAGGAAAAAATACAAAAATGACTGGACTGGCCCAAAACTAAAACAAAAAAATTATAGTTGAAACAACAAAAATCTCTTAATTCTTTCCCAGGTCATAAAACCACCATATGACACAGGTGCATCTGCCAATTTGTCAAGAGGTATTAACAGTTCATTGTGTGCCTACAAGCTAGGCACATTATAATTAGTCTAGTCCTAACAGCAACTATTCGCACTATTATTCCCAATACACAGATGAAAAGACCGAGAATATGAAATTTTCACAAAGTTACAATGCTCGAGGTGAACCCAAAGCACACAATATTTCCATCATACCAGGATGCCTCCCTGGACTGGGGGATGTTGGTGTCTCCTCAATCTAGGCAACACTGGGGGCTAAGACAAAACAATGCCGAATGTAATCTAAAAAAAGAAACAAATGACAGGGAATTAGTTGCCTATAGTAACCACGTAAAGGGGAATGGGGTGGCAGGGAGTAAACAGGCAAGGAATGAGGGCCAGGAAATAATCTATCAAAGCTATTTATTTTCTAGCACATGGAGGAGAAATGTAATAAAGTCTGACAGAAGGATGCACCTTCTCTCTAGGGGAGTCAGCTCCTGGAAAGAAGAGCATGGTGGGTGGGGAACAGGAGAATTAATAAATGAGAAGAATGCTAAGAGATGGTTAGCAAAGACAGATGTCCACAGTCCAACAGGCCACAGGAACTCAGAGCAAAGGCAGAGAAAATGGGTGGTTTCTCAGCTTTGGGGGTAGGTGGAGGTGTCAAGATACAGAGCAGGACAAAAGTTGGTTTACTGTAGAGTTCTCGTTTACAGTCTTTTAAAAGTTTTCGGGGGGGGGGGATAAAGAAGGGAAAGCTTACGGCCCCGAGAATGAAGAGGCTACGAAGACGGCAGTCATCCAAGCGCCAACGCATTCATGGCTCTGCTTAAGAGTGATCAAGCAGCACGCAGAGTTAAACAAATCAGTGCCCTGAGCTCTGATCAGGGTCTGATCAGCATGAAGACCTGAGGAAATGAAAGGCTACTATTGCTCCATCCACAAAGATGGTGTAAATGCAGGGAACAGGAAAGGCTCTATTCAAAGCCTGCGTCAAGGGAGTCCAATGGACGGGGAGAATGGACGTGCTAGGAGACTAGAGCTAAGCTCTTCCTTAGTAGGGCTGGGGAAGTGACAGTGCCAAGCTTTGACTCCCCTCCCCTTTAAATATAAGCCTCAAATATCCATGTAGATCAGTAAGATTCAATGGGGAAATAAAATTAAGGGAGAAAGGAAACGAGTACGTCAGCGGCACAAAAGCTTTATCCCTAAACCTTAGTTCAAAGGCCGTGGAAGTTGAGTAAGTGTAGTCCAACTCTATGCAAGAAAAAACAGGGGGTTGATTTAGATCACCGCATGGGGTGGAGAACGAGGCAGGCCCGCAAAAAGGTAGTGGGGAGGGAATCGATCGTCATAGGCTGCTCCCCTCTCCCTCACAGCCCGATGCAACCTCCCAAACCCCACTCCCAAACGAACTCCAGGTCTCATGCCCACCACCCTTCCCAACCCGCCCACTGACGCGGCGACAACGGAAGCGTTGACCGATTGGTGGGGCAAAGGCGGGCCCACACGCGGCTATGGCCCGAGAATGGTGTCGCCTCAACCCACTAGAGACGGGGTGGTCGTCTTGGCCTCAGTTTCAGTTATTTGGCCCCTCAGCATTTAAGCAATTGTCACCTCCTTAACATCGGGTACCTGAGAGGCGTCACAAACGCGTACTGCCAACAGCTCAGTCCCGGGTCCCGGCCGGACAGACATCAGCTTCCGCCGCCATCTTAACAGCAGGAGAACCGACCCTAGTCACTGCCCCCCCACCCCCAGCTACCTCCGCCACCGCCAACGAATCCCACGAGGACGTTACCCACTCCCGCGAGAACTCACCGGCTAAGAACAGCACTAGCTGAAGACGTTGCCGCCGCCTCCGCGGCTGCAGCAGTCCGTACCCTAACCACGGCCACCTCCGCGCGATCCCGCGAGAACCTCCACTGGACGGGAAAAGCCAGAGCCCAGCCCTTCCCAGACCCCTCCTCCTACCAAAGCCGAAGGCGCTGCAGCTCCGATCTCCCCTGCTCGAAGCGAAAAGCAAATGACGCACAATCTCTCAAAGCCCCGAGGGGCGGAGCCAATCTGCCGCCGCCAGCTCTCGCATGCGCCTTGAGAAATATCGCGATATTACGTTTTCCCTTCTACGAGACCCACGAATTCACCGCAGGATGCCGCCCGCACCTCGCCTTTAGGAAACAGGAGATCTCGCGAGACCTGGGGCACATCTCCTAAAAAGGAGAGAGGCGGTCCTTCATGAAAATGACTGGGAGTTTTTTCAGGGGAAGGAAGGAACCTCCCGTCCTGCAGGGATCTGGCCTACCACGAGGTTTCCGACCCACTGCGGAGCTGGCTGCCAAACCTCGCGATGACACTGCTCAGCGCCAAATCTCGGCCATGTCCTGAAAACTGCCTCCGCCCCCGATCTTAAGGTGTCTAAAGCCCAGTGCTTGAGGAAATTTTAAAAAGTCAACCTGTTTATTCTCACGCTTCCGGGCAGAGCTGTGCCAATTAGCCAAACTCCATCCCGGGAGAGGAGCAATGGGTCTCCCATTGTTACCTGCCTACAGGAATCACATGCTATCCTGGACGAACACATAAAAGACGTTCAGTCTCACAATAAGCATGCAAATGCAAACAATGACATAACATTTTTTGCCCATTTGATCGGAAAAAATATTAAAGAGCGATAACATCTTTCCCTCGCCGCACTGCAGGCTAACCTGAATCCATCTTAATCTAACTAAAGGCTCATATTGTTATTTCTTGCTTCAAAGCCACTGATTTTAACTCCTGTGGCTTTACTTGGTATAGCCAAAAGATCCAATAAAGTGGTTTTGTCCAAACAAAGGAGTCAGGAAAATTCAAGCTTCCACGGGGTGTGTGTGGGGGGGGGGGTGTTAGGGTGGGAGGGTTGTGAGCTTGAAGCTTTTAATATGGCAGTTTTTCCACGTCTAGTCATCAGTGTTTCTCCAATAAATCTTGAGATCCAATCTAGTTCGATTTGTGGGCTTTTCTATTCTAATGCATTGTTCTGTCCATTTTAATTAAATATTGTTCCTTTACTGTACATTTTAATAGCTGGTAGTACAAATACCCCCACCTTACTAATCTTTTAAAATATATTCCCGGTTATTCTTAGCTATCTTTTTTTTTCCAGATGAACTTTAGGATTATATTTAGTTCCCAAAACTTAGTAATTTATTGCAATTGCATCAATTGTATAAATCAACATAGGAAAAATGAGCATCAATACAAAATTGAGCCTTCTTATCCAGAAGCATGGTACCCTTCTTCTCCATGTATGCAAACGTTCTTTTGTAGTTTACTTCTAGATATTTTTATTCATTTTTCTTGCTACTGAGAATGGGTTTTGGGGGGGTTTTTTTGGATAAACTTTTGTAGTTTACTTCTAGATATTTTTATTCATTTTTCTTACTATTGTGAATTTTTTTAAGTGTTAAATTTTCGAAATGCCTTTTGCTTATAGATAGGAAGACTTGATATTTGTCTATTTACTTCTGAAACCGGACAAATAAAAATAGGCTCAATTTCACTAGTAATCAGGGAAATACAAATGAAAACAATGACATACCATTTTTTTGCCCTTTAAATTTACAAAAATTACAAAGAATGGTAATAATTCGTGCTGGCACGATAGTGGAAAATAGGCACTTTCGCACATCATCCGAGAGTGTAAATTAGTATAGGTTTTTGAGAAGGCAATTTGGACAAATCTATGAAAATTCAAAATACATACACACTTTGACCCAGCCATTTCTCGTCTAAGAATTTCTCCTACATACTCATACATGTGCAAGAAACATACATATACACAAACCCATTCATTATAACGTTGCTTGTAATCCCCCCTCCCCCCCCGCCCGGAAAAGGGAAACAAGCTATTACAATGTACATCAATCGTGAAATGGTTAAATAAACTGTAGTACAATCATACAGTGTAGCTTTTAATAAATGAGATAGATTTAGATTCCCTGATATCGTATGATCTACAAGGCATATTAAGTTTTTTAAAAAGCAATTTGCCGAAATAAGCGTGTGTGTGGGTACCATGTAGATACCAAAACATACATATACAACGCCTAGTAGTTAGCCGCGGAGCCTGCCTGCCAGTCCCTCACCTTCCCCCAGATCTGAGGCCGCCCTCCGCCACCCGGTGAGAGAAACGCCGATGGCCCAGCCTCTATTCCCTCTCTAGGGCCATTTGGCCCAGGATAATGCCGGTACCTCGCATCCCCACAGTCTGTCGACCGCTTTCTCGCCGCGCTGCCGGCCGCTGGCCCGCTGGCCCCGAAGACGCCGCTAGCTCTCGGCTGGCGCCCGCCGAGGCCTGGGGGAGGGGAGAGAAGGCGGGGTTGAGGGAGGACTGGGGCAGGCCTCCGGACCACTTCACCAGCCTTTTCCCAACGCTCCCCAAGGCCGCCACCTCCACTCCTCCAGGAAGCGTCCCGTGGGAACAATCCCCAGCTAGGAGTCGAGGACCGACGCGCCAGCAGTGCCCGCCCCTCAGGCTGGGGGAAGACACTCACCTCGGCGGCAAGAGCTCCGCGGGGACCGCAGGAGCGTGCGGGGTCCGCGGCCCTGCTTCTGCCCCGCTCCCCTCTCTCGCCCTCCGCAGAAAAACCTCCCCCTCCGCCTCTCCTCACCCTTGATCTTAGGCTCCACCCCTGCTCGAGAAGGCCCGCCCCTACCCCTTGGGAGGGCGCTCTTTTCTCGGTAAGGCCGGGTCTCCTACAGGGGACCGCGCCAGAGCTACTCTGGGCGTTGCAAACCCAACCACAGAGGATATAAGGTCGCTAAGGAATTGGATTTGATTCGAGACACGATGGAAGCCGCTGAAGGGTGACATGATTTGATTTGATTTACCTTTAAAAATGAACAATCTCTCCAGCTGACTTGTGAAGAATTGGGGGGCAGGAGGGCGAGTGGGGACCTGGAGTGGAGGGCGGGAGACGATTTGGGTGCTGACCACAGAGAGTTTACACCGGCCAATGCTCACAAAGTAAGCCCTCAGTAAACATTCTCTATTTTTTCTCTTTGGTATTATTGGGGGTGGCAATGTGATTGTCAAGGAGCTTTAGAGGATCTGCAGCTGTGAATTCACAGGAGTTAAAAGGAGCTGAATGTAGGAGACATCGCCAACTATTAACCGTGCTTCCTCTTGGGTACAGAATGAAATTGGGGGGGGGGGCGAGAAGTGCGCGAGCTTTGATTTGCAATGCGAGATAAGGTTTAAATTTTGCACAAAACAATGTGTTAACTCAGTACTCTAAAGTATAAAGACAGAAGTGCTATCCAAAGTATCCTTGCAACATAAAGGAAATAAAAACTGCAACTATATCCTTCAGTTTAAATTCCAACCCTCCAGAGCGGTGATTCATGCCCCGTATTGCGAATCCAATGAATGGATTCACTGCCTGCCAAAAATATTACACAGAAAATTTTGTGTACAATCTTAGCTTTATGACGGTCCCTTTGAGATAGATTAATACATTAAATATTACCAATGTTATTTTTAATGGGTAAACGTTCTCCCATTGACAGATTATTTAATCAAAACTCCATATTTAGGCCTCTTTTTTATTTTTAAAGAAATACAGACATGAACTTTGATATAACTAAATGTTTGCTATTTCTAATATTTTTCCTCAAGGAGAAATTTGTAGAGTAGTTAGGGTCAAAAGGTCACTCCTCCCAAAAGCATACAAGTTCTTCCTAACAGTTGTAACAATTTGTGATTCCACCAGCAATACATGAGAAAACCAGTTTATGTGGATATCCTCATAGCCTCACCAACATTGCTATTTTTGTTTTTTAAAAAACCTTTAATTTAATAAGGGCTTTGATTGTAAATTCCATCTTTCACAGCATCTGTGTTAGCTCTAATAATCCATGGTCTCTACTCCTAATTCTAAACTTAATTCCTCAGCCTGAGAAAGTAGTTACCCTACCTTTAATTCTAAAATCCCACATACCCCACAACCCTAGTTTTAATTTGATCTGCAGCAACCTTTAGTTGTCTTGCCAACTCCACTCCTTTTACAGTCCTATTTCCAACTAATACTCCCCTACACACATACACACACCTTCTACTGTCTTTATTTTTCTTATTGTAGAATATTTAGAAAGTAGATAAAGCATAAAGAAAAAGCCAGAAGAAAGAAAAACTACCTAGAAAGGACCATTAATAATATTTTAGTTTTATATCCTTTTTCTATACATTCTATGTATGTAGCATTCTAAACAAGAATATTATCACAATATACTACTATTATCAAATGAATATTTGCCATATCATTAAATATTTGTATGTAGCATCATTTAATGGAAACATGAAACATCCCTTGCTTTAACATGTAATTAGTTTTGTTTTTGTTCTTTTTTCTTTTTAAAAATGCTTTCCTTGGGCCTCTCCGGTGGCAGCGGTTGAGCGCTGGGTTGTGAAGCTGCCCACAGCCTCTGCAGCGCCTGTTCGATCCTTTTATATTCATATACATATGTGGAAATATATAACTGTTTTGTGTTTTTTTACTGTAAGTAATGCAAATAACATCCTATTATTTACTGAAAACCAAATTACTAAGTATATACAAATCATCAGTTCAACAGTCCTAAAATCCATATGTACACTAATGTCACACTTTTGAAATCATTGGAACTTTAAATTATTATTTCACATCTGCTGGGAAAGCCTCACAATTTTTTTTTACTATTCTCAGACATTTTCATTCCCAGATGAATTGTTAAATTAATGTGTAATGTTCAATAAAAATTAATGTCATGTTTTTGATTGCATAAATTTATTTCATCAAAAGGGTTCAGGGTATTATAGTTGACAAACCAGTCATTTATTGCCATATATTCATGTTGTTTCTAATTGACCACTGTTATAAGCAGTTCTGTAAAGGACATTCAGGAAAATCTTTGTTCACAACTATGATTACTTAACTGTAATACATTTAATAAGGCAAAACGTATCCATTCTCTAACCCACATGTAAAAATAAATTTCAAATGATTAATAATGTAGATATAAGAACTTCAATAAAATAAATAAAAGAAAACATTGATGATACATTCCATGACATCAACAAAAAAGGTGTTTTTGGAGACTTGACCCCTATGGCTAGGGAAATAAAAACAAACATAAACAATTGGGTTTACTTCAAGTTAAAAAGCTTTTACACAGAGAAAGAACAATGTAAAGAGGATTAAAAGACATCCTACTGAATGGGAACAATAGTCACAAAATATATAACTGATAAGAGGTTAATACACAAGGTATGTAAAAAAAAACCTCAACTCAATAATTAAAAAGGGCAGCAGATCTGAAACAACAATTCACCAAAAAGGATATCCAGAAGGCCTATATATATATATGTAAAAAAAAAAAAAGCTCATCATTGTTTCTAATGAAAGAGACTAAAACCACAATGAGATGCCACAATGAGAACAATAAGAATGGCACATACCAAAAAGACCTCCAATAGCAAGTGCTGGAAGGGATGTGAAGAGAAACTTTATTACCAGTTGGTAAGACATAAACTGGTGAAACCAGGTGGAAAGTAGTCTGAATTTGTCTTTAAAATGTCAAAATGGAAATACCATACAACACTACCAATTCCACTACTGGGCATCTATTTTGTATCTTCTTGAAGAACTTGAAGAATCAGCTCTTAGTTTCATTGTGTCTTTGGTATAGTCTTTTTGATCTCTAGTTTATTTATTTCTGCTCCTACACTTACTATGTCCTTCCTTCTAGTAACTTTGGGTATTGATTTTTCATGTTTTTCAAGTGGCTTTAGATGTAGAATTCAGTTGTTTATTAGGGTTTTTT